CTTTTACCTTGAATCCCAGGAATCTGTCTTGCTGCAGCTAACGTTCCTAGGAGAGCCCACTCCACTGAGCCTGGCAATTCTCAAATAAGATGCACACGGTCGGGCGGTTTTCTTGTTCAGTCTGGCAGTTTCAGACGTTCAGTTATTTGAGGAGAAAGCAGGTTCACCTAAGCTTGCTCACTTTGGTCCGTGGTTCTCAACAGGGGACGTTTTGCAGCGTCTGCAGGTGTTCCTAGTTGTCGCGACTGAAGGGAGGCTGTTGGCATCTGGTGAGCAGAGGCCAGGGATGCTGCTGGTTACCCTGCAGTGCCCCAGATGCGCGCTCACAGCAAGGAACGGGTCCCCAACATCCAGAGCGGCAGGTCGAGGAGAAGCCAGCTGTAGGTGGGACGTTCTGACCCCCCTACCTGGAGGTCTGTGGCTAACATCACCCCCATCAAGCCTTCGCTCCTGGACTGCCAGAGTGAGCCAGAGCCCCAGCTCACTGGTCCAGGAGGCACAAGGCAGCACCTTCTCCTCCGCTGGGGCCTGGAGCCCAGATAATCATCTCTCTCCGGGATGTTCTGACGGGTCTGCCTGAGGCCCAGAAGATGCGAGACATATGGAGCTGTGGGTGTGGGTCCCCTCTGTCACTTCCCAGCTGGTCACCCTGGGGACACCTCACCTGACCCCCTTGTGCATCAGTTTCCCCATCTGTGAAATGGGGGTGACGGTGGTGGAAGACACTTAGGAGGTAGCTGCAAGTACGGAGCATGTCACCACATGCAAAATGCTTCCAACCATGCCCGACATTTAGTAACACTCCATAAATGGGCAGAGATGATTATCAGCGCTTTTGTTCTAGCCGGAGGACCTTAGTCTCCCTCCAATGGGCGTGGTAAGGACAGACAAGCCGGTTTCGGCCGCAGGTTGCTGCAACAGGGTCTGTGCTGCTGCCGACACTTGCCGAGAGCTTTCCCCAAGCTCAAGGCCAGAGGATTTTGGTTTTTTTGGCCACCTGGCAAGCCAGATTTTAGTTCCCTGACTAGGGATCAAACTGGCACCCTCCACAGTGAAAGCTCTCAGAGTCTTAACCAAAGGACCACCAGGAACATTCTTAAGTGAAAGGTTTGAGTGGAGACGGCTAAGGCATGGATTTCAAGGGAACCCTCTCCAAGGTTCTCATTCAGCATAGGGGTCAGCCTCCAGACATGGGTGGAGACCCTGGGATGGAACCTCAGGCTTGGCCCTTGGGGAGACCACTGGGGCGGAGCTGAGGCTTTGTCCTGAAGAGCCAGCAAGCTTAGCTGCATGGGGAAAAGTCTTAGAAGATGATGCCAAGGAGAGATGGGCCATGACTCCAGAGCATTTTCTGTTGTTTGTGCCCTGTGGCTTTAAATTGGGGTGGGGGAGAGAAGGGTAGGCCTGGACTGCCCTGCCCTAAAATCTCACACTTGCTTACATTGCCCATTCTTCCTGATGGAAAAGCACCTCCCCATCTCTCTCTAGCTACTGAAAGGCTCCCCATCCTTCAAAGTGCACCTTGAATGTCACCTTCTCCAGGAAGGATTCCCAGATTCCCTTTCTCGGCCAGAATCATTTCTCTCCATGGGCTTTGTGCTTTCTTCATGGCCTTTGGCCAGATGCTGTCCTGGAGTCATTTGTAAGTGGGTCTCTTCATCCTCCATTAGACTGTAAACTCCTGGAAGATGTGGGGCCCTTCCTGACATCTCCGTGTTCCGTGTGTGTGTGTGAGCTCTCCCACGTGGCTGGGGCCCAGGGCTGGATTCTGGAGTCACTACTGAAAAGCGAGTCCCCACTGGCTGCCAGCCGCTATCTCCAGCCTTGGCTCTGACTCGGAGGTCACAGAATCCGGAAGGGTGAGGAGTGTGAGCTGGAGGAGGAATTCGTGTGAGGTCAGAAAGATCACCGGGCTGTGGACACTTTCACGGTGTCCCGTCCCCGCTGGCCAGCCTAGGTCCCCGCCGCTCCTAAGTCAGCCCTGAGGGAGGGGCCCTGGCTTCCCCGCTTCTCCTTCGCACCTGGACACATGGTGGCCGTGATCCTCTGTCACTTCTATTTTTGCCTGTGTTGGGTCTTCACTGCTGCGTTGCCTTTTCTCTAGCGGCGGTGCAAGGTCTTATGGTGGTGCCTTCTCTTGCTTCTCTGGGCTTCCCTGGGGGCTCAGATGGTAAAGAATCCGCTTGCAATGCAGGAGACACAGGTTCGATCCCTGGGTGGGGAAGATCCCCTGCAGGAGGAAATGGCTACCCGCTCCAGCATTCTTGCCTGGAGAATCCCATGGACAGAGGAGCCTGGCGGGCTGCAGTCCAGGGACTGCAAAGAGTTGAACACAACTGAGCGGCAAACACCCTCTTGCGGCAGAGCAGTTTCCAGGGTGCGCGGGCTCATAGTTTGGACGCACAGGCTCCAAAGCACAGGCTCAGTAGTGGTGGCGCACGGGCTTAGCTGTCCCACAGCACGTGGGGTCTTCCCTGATCGGAGATCAGACCAGTGTCCCCTGCATTGGCAGGCGGGCTCCTCACCACTGAGCCCCAGGGAAGCTCCCCCATCATTTTTGTCCACGCATCCTCTGTCCTCGATGACCCTCCCCTGTGATGCTCCTGCTGTTTCCCAGGATCCCCTCCAGCACCCCCACCCCAGTCTGCAGGCCAATGGATGCAGTCACAAGTGGCTCCTGGTGTCCTTGGCTCCCAGCAGGGCAGGGGCTCCTGAGATGGAGGTGGGCGTGGCCACCATCCTCACCATCAGCATCCCTTTTGATGACTTCTTAGGCCAGTGGCTCTCAACACTGTTAGCACATTCCTCAAGTCTACAGACCCAGTGCCTGACCCCATCATTCTTCAGAATCTCCCCCTGGTGTGGGTGGGTGCGGGGCCGGTGGGGGGGGGGGTTGGTTAATTTCTGAACTGATGCAAGTGGAGAAGCAGAAGAGAGAGTGTGGAGGGGACTGAACCTTTCCATTGGGTCACCCCCACAGGTGCCCAGGACACAGCGTCCACGGGAACCTGATGCCCTGACGTGTGTATACAGAGGGTGGCCAGGTTAAGAAGGGATGGCTACAAAGGTGGGGAGGGCAGAGCCACTGTGGTCCAGCCCGTGCTGTGGCTGAAGGAGCCCAGCTGCACTCGGGAGCGATTCCATGGTGCTAGCAGGATCCCGAGGGTGCGGTACCTGGTTGGGCTGCCAGCCCCGTGCCGGAGACGGGGCAGGGCCCCGGGAATACAGCTGGCCGGGCGTAGAAGAATGGGGTTTCTGTGCTGCTTATCAGGATGGTGGCTCCCAGGCAGGGTGTAGAGGAGGAGGTTCCACAGTCTGCCCGCCTGGCCGATGGCTGCAGTCAGGCCCAAGTCATGGGGAGGACTTTGAACAGACGGAGCCCCACATCTGACTCACTGGCGACAGGAGGCAGCCACTCCCTCCCTGGCTAGGTCTGGGGTGAGTCCTGTGCCTGCCTGTGGACGAGGGGGACGGATGATGGCCTGGGACCACGAGCCAGCCGCAGAGTGCCCTCAGACAGGGGATGTGAGAGCTGGACAGGCACCTTGACCTTCCTCATTGAAAAAAACCTTGTTGTATGGATGTGTGTGTTCAGTTGCTCAGTCGTGTCCAACTTTGCAACCCCATAAACTGTAGTCTGCCGGGCTCCTCAGTCCGTGGAATTTTCCAGGCAAGGAAACTGGAGGGGGTTGCCATTTCCTTCTCCGGGAGATCTTCCCAACCCAGTGATCGAAGCCGCGTCTCCTGCATCAGCCGGCAGATGCTTCACTGCTGCGTCACCGGATGGCTGAGTGGGCTGAGGGTACAGCCGGCTGCTGGCTGACAGCACTTCCTGGCCACTGTCCAGAGCTGATGACCGGATTCCCACCGGCAGCAAGGTGGACGGACATGAGCAAACTGACCAGAAAGCCAAGGAACGGCGGTGTTTCCCTTTTTCCTCCAGTCCATCCACGACTCCCTCGGGCCACGTCCCAGCACTGCCTGCCAAATGGCACCCACATCTCAAACCCTGGAGACCTTCAGTGACCAGATGAGCCCTGGTGGAAGGGCTGCCCTGCGAACCTGTCCAGCCGGGGTACAGTCTCGTCTGGGGAGGCACCCTAAGACTGCCTTCCCGTTGCATTCAGCCTGACCCGCTTTCCCCCCTGTTGTGCCGTTCCATGTTCTGCCAGTGGACGTTCAGTTTCGCTGCAGTAGTTGGCTGCCTGTGGAATGAGGGCTCCTAGTGTATGTGGGTGCCTGGGGGTTTCCCCCAAGGATCATGGAGTACCTTTGTCCCGTCTCTTTCTGTTTCTCCCTCCCTTCCACTCCAATGCCTGCTCTGGGTGCAAAGCAGGCTCTCCAGGCTTGGCTACAACCAAATGACCAATTCACAGAGCCCAGGCAGGAGGGCAGAGGGTCACCAGAAGTGCAGTGTTAGCTGCAGCCTGGCTTGCGGAGGCCGTGGGGAAGCCCAGCTCAGCCCCTGATCTGTGTCCCCATCACAGTCTGTGGCCGAACCTCCTCATCCCGTTTCTGAAGTTGTTTCTCAACACAAATGTGACCTGTCCATCTTCAGGCCGTAAGGGAAGACCACCCCATAGAGGCACGGAATCAGGTCACTGGGTGAGGACAGCCCCTCATGGTGGATGTCGTCATCCCCACGTGACCCCTTCCGTGTTCCACACGAGGGTCTGAGGTGTGGAAGTGAGGTGGTTTGTGAAGAGCCGTGTGGGTAAGTGGTGGACGCGGGTTCTCCTGACACCCAGCCAGTGCGCCCCGAGCTGTGCAGTAATGTCCGTCAGCCCAGAGCGGCTCCAGAGACCCGGGGCAGCTTGAAGTGGGGAGGATCCTCATCCCCTTCCTCTTCGCTCTAACCCTTCCCCATCCTTCACCCGTCACAGGGATCTACCCGCACCTCTGACGCCAAAGGAGGGCGTTGCTCAGAGGCCAGGGGCACCCGTCCCTCTGGGTGCTCCGCTCTGGACGTCCGCCTTTCACGCTCCTCCTTGGTCTTTCAGGAATTTAGCCCTTGGAATTGGGATCCAGAACTTCCCGGAGGGCCTCGCTGTCAGCCTGCCCTTGCGAGGGGCTGGATTCTCCACCTGGAGAGCCTTCTGGTAAGTGCTACAGACATCGGCATCAGGGGCCAGGGCCGGGTCTGCGGTGGCGCTCAGGGCAATCCTCCCGCCGGCTTCTCTCTTCGAGAGCAACCTCTTCCCTCCCGGAAGTAAACCTGGAGTTTAACCTCTTCCGGCCCGGAAGTGAACCTGGAGCTTCCGGAAGCACCGGCCATCTGGTTGGGTCCTGCACCCCTAAGGCTCATCCCTTGACCTTCAGCCCCCAGGACCAGCCGTGTTTCCTATTTTCAAAAGCCCTCCAGGGATAGCCACGCCCACTCAGGGTGGGGTTTTCTCCCCTGCTGGTGGGAAGACCCGAGGCAGCTCTGCCGTCCACGGGCCCTGTCACAGCCCTGGGTGGGCTCACTCACCCCAGTCTGTCCCCAGGGGTCATCACATCAGCTCCCGTCATGACCCTTGTTGAGGTGAGGACCACGGTTCTCTCAGCAGCACCTGGGCCAGTGAAGCCCGCGGTGCTCACGCTTGATGTTTTAATAATCCCCAAAGGGCTTCCCAGGGCTTCCCAGGTGGCTCAGTGGGAAAGAACCCGCCTGCCAATGCAGGAGACGCAGGTTTGATCCCTGGGTCAGGAAGATCCCCTAGAGGAGGAAATGGCAGCTCACTCCAGTATTCTTGCTGGAGAATCCCAGGGACAGAGGATCCTGGTGAGCTACAGTCCATGGGGTCACAAAGAGGCACAACCGAGTGACTAAACAAAGGGCTTTCCAGTCTGTCTCCAACTTTTACGTTTTCAGTGACCTGTAAGGTGCGTCCCCAGGCTTCCGAGGAGGGGGCCGGGGGCCCAGAGTGTCAGATAATCAGCTCATCATGTGGTGGTGCCAAGGCTGCCATTTCTTCTGCTCACAGGGCCCCAAGCCTCAGGACACCTCTTGGTGAAAGCAGTTGCCACTCTAGAATGTTTGCTGAGAGCTTTACAGGACTGCTAACAACAGATAAAAAGCAGCTTCTGTTTTATAGGGTCTTATGACTTATAAGTTCTTGGATATACTTTAGTCACTTTATTTCCATCATTATCATCTCTTCCTCTGTCGTGGGAGATGACGGAACAGAGCTTTTGAGGGAAGGACAGAGCACGATGACCCTAGAGATTTTTTTCAAATGTCAGTTCCCTACGCCTGAGAGCCGTGAGTGTCATTCATACAGAAGGTCCAGGGCTGCAGAAGGGTGGGAAGAGGGCGCCTGTGGTCAGTGTCCAGACCCTGAGATGAAAGTTTCTGTTTAAAACTAGACACGCTCAAGAGCTGCAGATGGTGCTCTGAGCATGCAAGCGTGGAGCAGGAAGCAATGGCTCGTTTGAGGATGCTGCGGTGCAGACGGTGTCTCCCCCACGCCCTCCATCTGTTCCTGGTCAGGGGAAGCAGGGGCTGGGTGCTGGGAATTCACAGTCCTACCTGTCCTCTNGGGACGGGAGGAGAGGTTGTCGCTCACCCCCATTTTACAGATGAAGGGACTGGGGCTCAGAGCCAGATGCCCACAGAGAGGACAGGAGGAAAGATGTCCCAGCACCTTGTGTACTGATGATCAGCCCATACAGGTGTCTCTTACTGGTGGGACTCAGCCATGGGGCTCAGGTGTGGGCTTATCTCTGGGCACCGAATTCTCAGGGCTCGTGGGGGCTGCTGTTTTAATAGAGCTCATGGGATTCCAGCCTCCAGACACCCTTGAGCTCAGATAAAGGGTGTTTTCCAAAGGAAAAATCTCACCTTAATCCAAGGAGGGGGGTTTGTGGGGAGAGGCCCTCACTCTATACCTGGCCAGGTAGGTCCACCTTGTGGGCAGGGGTCGGCGGGTGTGGCTCCTTCAGAAGGGGTGCTGTTGTGGCCGGAACCCCCAACACACCAAGCGCAACCCAAGTCCTTGGGAAGTGTCTGCCCCACTCCTCCCCGTCAGGGTCCTAGCCTTCAGAGGACAACATAGCCCTCAGCTGGTGACCGGCTGGCGGTGTAACATGTGGTGTGTCCATACAATGGGATATTGTGCAGTCATCAAAGGGATGAAGTCCACTTGTTACAACAGGGATGCGCCTTGAAAACCGGGTGCTTAGTGAAATAAGCCAGTAAAAAGGATCACCCATTGTCTGACTCCATTTATAGCAAACATCCAGAGGGGGTAAATCCCTAGAGACAAAAAGTAGATTAGCGGTGGTCAGGGGATGGGGGTAGGGAGGAACAGGGAGGGGCTGCCAGTGGGTATGAGGTTTGTTTTGGGGGGTAATGGAAACGGTCTGGAATTGGATCATGTGGAAATTGTTGCCCAACCTCATGAATACACTGAAAACCACTGAACTGTACACATTCAGTGGGTGCGCCATTCGCCATTCCGTAGGTAGGCGAATTCTATCTCAATAAGGCTGTTATTTTAAGAAGACAATGTGGGAAACTTAAAACTCTAAAATAAACCTGGGAGGGGGTGTCTACGGTGACTGTGTAATAATAGGGAGCTGGGAAAGCAGACAGAGGTGGTGTTAATAAAAACAACACACAATGAGGTGGTTTTGCCCAGCGATGCAGGATCTGACGTGGAGGACAATGCATCGCTTTTGCAGAGCCGAGGCAGCCCGCGGAGCACGCGGGGTGTCCGCCCGAGCCTCCCCGTGGGGACGCGTCTGTTCTCTCCTAGGTACGGGCAGCTCAGCGGCATGGTGGAGCCTCTGGCCGGGGTCTTCGGCGCCTTCGCGGTGGTGCTGGCCGAGCCCATCCTGCCTTACGCGCTGGCCTTTGCTGCCGGCGCCATGGTCTACGTGATTATGGATGACATCATCCCCGAGGCCCAGATCAGGTGACAGCCGCCCTGCCCCACCCGGCCTGGTCTCCATCCCAGCCCCGCCCCCAGCATCTGCCCTGCCTTTCTTGGCCCCTCTTTCCTTCACCTCCACCTCTTCAGGCCCCTTCCCAAGGTCATCTCCACCCTCTCCTCAACTGGCTTCTTTGAAACAGAAAGAGGAGTAACGGGGTGGAGAGTCGGAGGACCTGATATCAAGCCCCGCCCTCCACCCCCAAAGACACAGAATACTGCTTTGTATATTCTCTCTTTATCTCTGTCTCTCTAGATTTCACTGGGGCTGGAAAGGGGGGAGGTGAGCTCCACAATGTTGACCACAGCTGCCCTCCAGGTCTTCATTGTCAGCTATAGGCCAGGTGTTTGGGGGGGGGCAGATCCCTGCTTTTATTTCCTTTCGGTTTTCCTAGCAGAATGATTTTGAGGCTGGTTTACAAGGTCAGGTGACATACTGTCTTCAGAAAGTCACTGCCGCTCCTTATTATTCAAGCATGGATTCCTGAGCCCTCAAAGTGACCTTGAGAAAGTCACTTCTCCACACCTCCATTTTCTCAACAGGAAAATGGGGATGATGACAGAACTGACCTCATCTGTCGGCCCTCAGGGTTTACGTGAGTTAGTTTACCTGGCATGTAGAGTTAGTCGCTCAGTTGTGTCCAACTCTTTGCAACCGCATGGAGAGTAGACTGCCAGGCTCCTCTGTCCATGAAATTTCCAGGCAAAAGTACTGTAGTGGGTTCCCATGCCCTTCTCCAGGGAATCTTCCCAACTCAGGGATCAAACTCAGGTCTCCTGCTTTGCAGGCAGCGTCTTTACCATCTGAACCACCATAGTAAGCCCTACGAAATGTTACTTGTCATTCTTGGGGACTTCCCAGGTGGCACTAGTGGTAAAGAACCTGCCTGCCTATACAGGAGACATAAAAGACACAGGTTCGATCCCTGGATCTGAAGGATCCCCTGGAGGAGGGCATGGCAGCCCACTCCAGTGTTCTTGCCTGGAGAGTCCCATGGACAGAGGAGCCTGGTGGGCTTCAGTTCACGGGGTCGCAAAGAGTCAGACACGACTGAAGCGACTTAACAGGCATGATTGTCAATATTACTACTTTTTATTGAAATATAGTTAATTTACAATGTTGTATTGGTTTCAAGTGTACAGCAGAGTGATTCATTTTTACATATTTATATATTCTTTTTTGGGTTTTCTTTTTTTAAGTTTTTTTAAGCCAAATTTATTTTATTTATTTTAATTTTTGGCTGTACCCTGTAGTGTGTGGGATCTTAGTTCCCCAACCAAGGATCGAACCTGCACACCCTGCTTTGGGTGATAGCATCTTAACCACTGGACCTCCGGGGACGTCCCTCAGATTCTTTTCATTGCAGGTTGTTACGAGATGTTGAATATAGTTCCCTGTGCCCTACAGTAGGTCCTTGCTGTTTATCTGTTGTATATATAGTAGTGTGTATCTGTTAACCCCAAGTCAATATTGTTGTTGTTACTATTATTATGAACAGGAGTGGTGTGTTTCCCCAGGAACTGGACACTGGAGAATGCTGTCAGCTTGGACGCTGTCCCGCGCTGCATCGAGGTCTCACCCTCTGCCTTTCCTTCCCTCTTAGTGGTAACGGCAAACTGGCGTCCTGGGCCTCCATCCTGGGCTTCGTGGTGATGATGTCGTTGGACGTCGGTCTGGGCTAGTGCCGAGATGCTTCGGACCCCAGGAACGGCAGCACGAGGAGACGGCCACCGTTGGCTTCGGCAGGACCAGCCTCTTTTCTTCACATCCAAACGTTTTCCTTCTTCTCCTTTTTCATCTCATTACCTTGATTGACTCTGATTAAAATATGACACTTTTTAGATTTCTTTTGAGGGAGATAGTGGTTTTATTTGGAATTTCAAGCAGGCCCAGAACTACAGATTTTTGCTTGGCCACTACGTAGAATCTTTCTTCAATGGGATAACCAAGGACACGCAGATCAGGGAAATCTTTTGTACCTTCAGTCGCCCTCGCTAGACTTAACACGAGTTCCTCAAGATCACCTCTAGACGCAAGAGAGAAGTCTCCTAAGCATCTTTGCCTAGTGACTCAGAAAGGCCAGGACAGCTCTTATCCGTCCTTCCTGCTCTTTTACCACTGACCCTCTGTCCATCAAGACTGGAACAGGAGCATCATGGACAAAGCAACCCAGGGCGGAACACACCTTCCTCTTTCTCCCCCACGGGGGATGCTGCATGGAAGGAGGCGCAGACGAAGGGAAGAAAATCAGCTGGTCTTTTCTTTTTCTCTTTTTCTGACGGCAAAGATTGGCACTGTCGAAGTTAAGGGAATCAGGACAACTGTGGATGCACAGTGAGCCATGTGAACCGAGGACAGAGTGGCACTCTGATTCGAGAGCTCAGCTCTCTCTAGATTCCAAGAGCAACTCATTCTGCCAGGGTCTCCAAGTCCCCCAGACGTGTGTTTTCATAAGCTTATAGCCTTCATTTTTCTAAGAGCCTTGGGGACACCAGCAAAGTGCTGGAACTCAACCCCTTCATTTACTTTCTGAGGGAGTCACTGAAGCTCGTCTAAGTGAATATAAGACTGGGTCCTCCTCCTTTGACTATTTGGTAATTTGTAACCTGACCCAGACCTCCTAAGCAGTTTTACTGGATTTTAGTCAGAAAACTCAGGATGAGACAGGAAGAAGGGTAGAATAACAAGAAGTATTTTTTACATTTCCCCTTTAAAGTAAATTTTAGCCAAGTCATTGTTCTAAAATGACCCCTAAAGAATGAGATTTGAATGAGACTTGAAGCCAGTCTACTCCCTGATATATACACACAGCTTCTCCTGCAGGGGTGGCATATCTATCTTGTCTACTTCAAACATAGCTGAGGCCTGCCGTCCTCGCTGGTCCAAGGCGCACAGGGGACCTTGAGTGGGTTCTGCTGACAAGGCAGGCAACCCAAGAGCCAGGATTTAAGGCATTGTGTGGTCAAGGCCCACCCCAGGTTGACATATCTCATCACTTCCAAGGGTGGATACACTGTTCTGGGAATGCCCTGTGCTGGATCTATGTACCTTCTTCCAGAGCACTGATGATCAACATTGAAGACACATTCAGAAGTTTGATTGGTGGAGATTCATTGGTTTGGTGGTTGGCATATAGATGTTTTTAAAAGTCTTTGTAACAGAGTTCTACATAATGCAGACTTCTTTCTGATGGACAAGACCTCATAACTGTGATTAATACCAATAAAGGGGATATTGTTGTGGATGACCTATGCTGTGTCCAGTCCTTCTCAAAGCTGCCTCTTTCCGGTAGATAATATGAGAGCTAACTAGAGTTAGTCCTAGCATCTGCCCTGCCCATCACCATGAGAAGAAAAGGAAAGGGCTCAGAAGAAAAGGGAAGAGCTAGCTAGATGCACAGTTGCAGACAACAGCGTCCAACTCCAGTTTGCTTAGACAAAGAATTTAATGGAGGGTTATCAGGGAGCTCATAGGGTCTGTGAAGAATCAGCTTGAAAATGGGCTGGATCCCAGAAAACTAGAGGTCTTGGGAGTGGGCTGCCATTCCCTTCTCCAGGGCATCTTCCCGACCCAGGGGTCAGATCCGTCTCCTGCATCGGCAGGTGGACTGTGCCACCTGGGAGGCCTCGGAGCTCTGGGAGTATGACCCAGTCACATCTTAGGAACAGCTTGACTTGGATGCCATCATCGCTTGATCCTGGACCATTACTCAGGCTGCCGCCACTTGATGCTACCAGCGTCTCCATGGGAAAGAACTCTAAACTGATCCCAACTGTTTGTGTCCTGGCCTCACATTCAAACTTCTGAGCAGAGCAGGTCATCTGGCTGGCAGAGTTTGGATCCTGTGTCCTTGAACTAACAGGTCTTGCCCTCTTATTAAGACTCACATAATAATGGATTTTCCAATTTTTGGAATGAGCTCAGAGAGTGGAGAGCCAAAAGAGGAAAAGAATTAACTTTGTTGCAGCTCCACTCTTGCTGTTCAACATCTATATACACTTTACTCATTTTTTAAATTTTTGATTTTTTAAATAATGAAAATATGATAACACACTTATAAGAGAGTTGAAAAATACAGAACAAAGTTACATATCATCCTGCTGTATATTACATATATTTTCTAAGTGGATAAATTAAGATTTTTAGTTGGAGTTTCATTACCAAACTCTCAAAAATTAATAGAATGAATAGGCATAAAAGTAGAAGGATACAGTAGACCCAAAAAGCCCTATGAACCACTTGAACATAATTAAGATTTATACAATCTGGGATTTTCTGGTGGCTCATATGGTAAAGAATCTGTAGTGAGGGAGACCTGGGTTCAGTCCCTGGGATGGAAAGATCCTCCGGAGAAGGGAATGGCTACCCACTTCAGCATTCTTGCCTGAAGAATCCCCTGGATAGAGGAGCCTGGCAGGCTGTAGATCATGGTGTTGAAAGAGTCGGACACACAGCACATAAATAGCAGGGTACCAGTTCTATTCAAGTTCCCATAGACTATAAACCAGGAGACACTGGAATATATCCAGGGACATAAAACAAGATGCAAAAATGTCATGGTCTAAAGGTATTGAAATCATACAGAGTCTGTTCTTTTATCACTGTGATTCTTCTATTTTTTTCTTAAAAAAAAAAGCAAAACCTTTCTGCTTAGATAATGGAGTTATCCCTCAGGCAATCTAAACATTGTAATGCCCTTTTCCCTGGAGACTAGCTGCACCAGTGGTAGGACACTCCTTTCTTGGCCACAAGCACCCTAACCAGACAGAGTCCAGCGCTGACTGGCGTGAGGGCCATTCAGTAAAACGGAGGGGCAGCACCCCTCCCTCTCTTCCTTCAGACCTGCTTCCTCTGGCTGTGGGAGGAATAATATCGCATAAGGATTACTCATTCTGAACAAACACCCGTTTTAGAGAACAATATCTCAGCCTCATGAGATACTGTCTCACAGCTAGTCATAAAACCAAATCTTGTATAATATGTTGTTGTTCTGTTGCTAAGTCATGTCCAACTCTCTGCCACCCCATGACCTGCAGCACACTAGGCTCCTTTGTCCTCCACTATCTCCCAGAGTTTGCTCAAATTCAGGTCCGTTGATTCAGTGATGCCGTCCAACCATCTCACCCTCTGCAGCCCCTTCTTCTTTTGCCTTCAATCTGGTCTTCTCCAAAGAGTCAGCTCTTTGCATCAAGTGGCCAAAGTGTTGGAGCTTCAGCTTCACCATCAGTCCTTCCAATGAATATTCAGGGTTGATTTCCTTTAGCATTGACTGGTTTGATCTCCTTGCAGTCCAAGGGGTTCTCTAGAGTCTTCTCCAACACCACAGTTCAAAAGCATCAATTCTTCGGCGCTCAGCTTTCTTTATGGTCCAAGTCTCACATCTGTACCTGGCTACTGGAAAAATCATAGCTTTGACTATACAGACCTTTGTTGGCAAAGTGGTGTCTCTACTTTTTAATACGCTGCCTGGTTCAAAATGCATGACTGCTTCTGGAGGACAGGATTGAATTGTAAGGATATCTGCCCATCACTTTCCCTCTCTGACTGTAAAGTGAATTCCTGGGTCAGAAGCAATGTTATAGGATGTTATAGGATGCCATGATGATAAGATGGACTAGAAGTTTATTGCAGATCTAGACATACGAGCCTGCCTTTGTGAAGAGAAATCTCTGCCTTTTCCATAATGGAAGAGGTCCGAAGCAATCAGTCTGCAGCCAGGCAGCGTGTGGGACCACTGGCGGGTCATCAGTGTGCAGTCAGGGATCATCCCTGATCCTGTGCGCACTTGCTGGCCATGGTGGATGGATGACGGACAGCCAGGCCTTGAACCCACGCCTTGTTTCTTTCTTTGACAGTGTGGCCACGTTTATTCTTGAATCAGTTAGGAAAGCAGCGATGTCCCTGGGGAAAGAAACTGTCAGTCCTAGATTGTCTTTGCCACTTAATAATAGTCTCCTGCACAGTGGAGGCTCTGGGTGACCTTTCACTCGACGGACAATTGTTTTCACAACTGCCCCTTTCTGAGAGGCGCAGCCATCTCTGCTTCCCCAAATGTCTGTCACCAAACCTCTAATATTGCTGCCTTCCGTTGCTTGACCATTTGGCCAGGCCTTCTGTCACTGTTCATAAACCGATGCAGCTTCTTGCATCAAATCATCTTTCCTGACAAGCAGGCGGATGAGATGTAGAAACATGTGCTTAGAATTCTCCCCACTGGGAGGTTTTCTCATCACCTACTGTCCTCAGTGGCAGTATAAAACCACAGCAGCCCATTTCTAGAGGGGCCGGTGTATCACAGAGCCAGCCATAAACTAGCTTGAGCAGTTTTTCCTCTTTTTTTTTTTTTTAAGCTGTCAGCACCACTTCCCAGGACCGCCTCTAGTCTCTCACATCCCTGACTGTCTGATGGTAGAAGCATCTCATTCCCTCGAGGCTCTCTGCCTTTGACGGCCCCCCTTGACTCATCCCAGGGGACTGGAATGAAAAGTGGTGGGGGCCAGATGAGCACCTGGATCTTCTCCAGGGACATTCTCGTCTTGTCTCGTTCAGGAAGAGACCAGAAGGCCATTAGTTAGACTGTGCCAGGCAAGGTGCTTCCCACCCTGGCCACCTCCTTGAATCCTCCATGACTGTGTGTTAGAACCACACCTGACAATGAGGTGGGGCGGAGGATCCAGGAAGCCGTACTCACCAAGGTGGTGATGGGCAGAGCTGGTTCTGCTCTGAGCCGAGGATGCCCCACTGAACCTCCCGCCCCTGCTCCCTTAGAGCTTTCTTGACGAAACATCCTGCACACCTCTACCTTCAGGAGAAGTTGGTTGCGGAAGTTGACCCAGTGGGAGGGCACTGTCCTTTTTTTTTTCTCCTTGCTTTTAAATCGAGATATGATTACCTATGGGCTTCCCTGGTAGCTCAGCTGGTAAAGAATCCGCCTGCAATGCAGGAGACCCTGATTCAATTCCTGGGTCGGGAAGATCCCCTGGAAGAGGGATAGGCTAGCCACTCCTGTATTCTTGGGTTTCCCTGGTGGCTCAGAAGGTAAAGAATCCACCTGCAATGTGGGAGACCTGGGTTTGACCCTGGGGTCGGGAAGATCCCCTGGAGGAGGGCATGACAACCCACTCCAGTGTTCTTGTCTGGAGAATCCCTACGGACAGAGGGGCCTGGCGGGCTACAGTCTTTGGGGTCGCAGAGAGTAGGACACGACCGGGCGACTCAGCACAGCCCAGCACATGGTTACGTATAACAAAGGGCACCAATCTTACATGTTTACGCACCAAATTTTAAACATTTCTGTTTTATATCAGAGCACAGTTGATTAACAATGTTGTGTTAGTTTCACGTGCCCAGCAAGGTGATTTGGTTATACAGATACATATATATCCACTCAATTTCAAATTCTTTTCCCATTTAGGTTATTATAGAGTGTTGAGCAGAGTCCCTGTGCTATACAGTAGGTCCGTGTTGGTTATCTATTTTAAATATAGCAGTGAGCCACACCAATTTTTAACCTGCACACCCAAGAGTGGCCCTACGGCTGGGTCTTCCAACGCCCGGGGTCCTCAGCTCTCGGGTCATCTCCACCTGGCCACTGTCCTGGGCCCAGTAGCGCAGTTTACCTGCGTGGGGCAGGGCCCCGAGAAGGGGCGTGGCCGCGTGGTGGGTGGAGCGTGGGCGGGGCTTCGTGCCCTGGGCGCATCCTCCCGCCCTCGACCCCTGCGACGCACGCACTTGACTGCTGGGAGGCGGGTTCACTTCACCAAAGGGACCTCTGACTTCCCGGGGCTCCTGCCCTCTGTGGCTTGTCCCTTCCACAGAAGCCCGCGGGTTTGGTGGGGCGGGGGATCTGAAGTGTATACAGTTTGAGCGGTGGTCTTTTGGGAAAACAGTGCACGAGTGCAAAAGATGTAGGCGCAAGGCTTTGGAGGGGCGCCTGTGAGCCAGCATCCCTGTGGTTCAGGCTTTTAGGTAAGTGCTCTCTGGTCCCTGCGCGCTGTGAATTCACTCTGCTTGAGGGCAGGGCAGGGAGGCCTCCAGTTCCAGGGGTCGAGGCTTCTGCAGAACTTCGGGAGTCCCATGTAGTGAATTCACATTTTGGTCCTCTTCTGACACAGCGCAGCCCGGCAGCGTGTTCCTGGGCAGGAGGAGGTCCCTCCCGGCGGGTTTAGTTCTTCCTCCAGGTTCCCCCTCCTCCCAGCAGAATGCAGGAGGGAGGCTAGACCTGGGCCGCCAATAGAGCTGCAGGGAAA